CCATGCAAGGGGGACAAGTCATAATTTGTCCTGTATTTAACTGTCGTCCCACAGCGCATGTTAATAACACTCCCAGGAGGTCTGTGGAACAGAGACTTCTAGAGGTTGCATTCGCTGAACCACTAGCACTACACTAATTTAATTCTTGGGTTTTGCATTATTAGACCAGCAGACTCTTTTGCTTCCACAAAAGGATTTAACCAGAAGGTTGGTCCCCTCAGAACCTTGTTTGCCATCCAGTTCCCCATTTCTCTGCCAGCTTCATCTGTGCAACTTATCTTGGGTTACGTCTGGCAGATGGAGAGAGGAATCGCATTTCAAGCCTCTGCTGTCTGCACCCAGAGCCCTCCCTGAACAGCCCCTGGTTCACGCGGGAGAGAAGGGAGGAGGGAGGACGATCAGCCCCCCCAAGAAAGGCGAGTGTAAAGTATTTCTCAAATTTTCATCTTCAACAGCTGGTATCATTTACCTCCCTGGGGGGAGACTCCGCTTTGTTGCTTAGGCTAGCAATATAATCTCTACCTATCCCAATGCCAAAATATCAATTACAGGTTCATCTGGATGTCAGGATAAATTGATGTTCAGACTACTAGACAATGACATAAATTGGAGGTGGGGTGGGGGATGGATGTTGAAGGGGACTGAGCCTCAGGATAGAAGGGAAATAAAGTCAAATTCTTCATATCCTTGCAAATTAAGTAACTTAATTCTAAACTGCTATTTGTCTCATGAAGAGAAACCCACCAGCAACTAAAGTGGAGCAGGTATTCCTGAAGAGGTTTTCTTCTTGGAGGTCCTAATTAGAGACAGGTTATCACTTCCATGGCACCCTAGCTCTCCCAGCGTAATGATAAGAGACGACAGAAAAAAATAAATGTCTTGTAATTAAAAATAAATGTTTTACCAAACACAGAAAGTCACATATTGTATGATTCCATTTATATGAAATAGTTAGAAAAGGTAAATCCATAGAGACAGAGAGCATATTGGTGGCTGCCAGGGGTTGAGGGGAGAGAAAAATGGGGAGTAACTGTTAAATGCATACAGTGTTTGATTTCGGGGGTGATCAAAATGTTTTGGGATGATATAGAGATGGTGGTTGTATAACATTATGAAAGTACTAAATGCCAATGAACTGCTCACTTTAAAATGGTTAATTTTATGTTACATGAATTTCACCTGAATAAAAAAATAAATATTTTATAATGAAATGTTTTATAGGACTCACTATAATGTTATAAAGGACACACTATTTCTCATTGCTCAATAATCTACCTACTGGGAAATAAGGAGGATTTTATTTCCATTCTATAGTGATGAGAGAGATTAAATAGATCTCTGAGTTCTAATATTTGTCACCTTTTGGCCTTTCTTGTGAAAAGCCTAGCATTTTCCCAGAATGTCTGTAGCGGGAAGTAATTCAAACCAATGACCCCTGACTTGCTTGGCCCTTCACAGTCAGCAGCAGCAGCAGCAGCAACAGCAGCAACGGTTCATGTGCAGTTGCCCAGTGCCAGCTGGATGATCAAAAGTCGATGGGGTGCACCTGTGTTTACCAGACTCTGAGACCCCCTACCAGACCTGTGGGATCGAGCTGTGTTCTGGGGAGTGGCCTTTTGTGGTGGTGACATCAGACAAAGACTGTGGGTCATTTTAATTCAGTAGAAAAATATGAAGACCTTGCTCTTTCCACACAGTTTCAGGATCAAAGAAAATCAACTTTAACAAAGAGAAGAAGCATCTTTGGATGAGAGGCAGGTTTTTTTTCTTCTTTTTGATACTAAGAAGAACATAGGCTTCAACACACAGATCCAAAGCAGCCAGCTGTTAAATGGAAAGAGAAGCCCAAGAACTTATGAAGAATAAAGATATATTGAGAACAGAGATAAAAAGAAGGGATCTTGAACGGAAACTACAAGACTATGTGACAACAACAAAAAATGGCTAACAACCGTATTTATGGAAAGCAGGTAGGGGACCTCCCAGTCTTACCCAACGCCTTCCCCTTTTCAGCCCCACATGGTGCAGTCAGGGCCATGGACAAACAGGCCTCCCAAACCCTCACCCAACCAACTTCCTGAACCATTCCATGTGTCCCACCCTCTACTTGTTGATATAGCTCTGATCTTTCCGGTTTTGATCTTATGACAATTTTTTCCAACCAGGACTTTGTCTCGCCTCCCAGATTTAATACTTAGCTTTGAGCACTTGCTTTCCTTGACCAAGATTTAGACATTCTTCTGGGGCTCTTGCCTTTGGTGGCTTCATCCACCTTCAGCCTGGCCCAGGAATGTCACTCCTCACTGTGACTCCTGGAGAAGTGTTCCATTCTGTTTTGGTGTATCTTTTCTTTTCTCAGGTGTATCCCTCAAGACTAAGCCTAAAAATAAGGCTCTAATGTTGATTTCAGGCTCACAAACGGCTAGACAAGGTTCACATTAAGAGGGAATTTTTAAATATAATGAAAAAGCAAAATATATTAAATGCTTTCAAAGTCCTCTAATTCTATTGCAATATGCCAACTGACTCAGAAAGCCATATTTTTTTTTCCTATGTTGTGTGAGAAAAAAACATGTGGTCCTGTCACAAAATGTTCTACATTTCATAGAAATTGCAGTATTATTTTTTGGGAAAAATCTCTAAAAAAGAGAAAAAGCATCTGTTTCCTATGTTTGTCATGCTACAGAATGAAATGCCAAATGGAGAGTGGGTTATGGAGGGGGCATCTATTTTCCCTTTGATAGGAATGCTGAGATAGAGCATCAGTTTTGAGCTATCGTGGGGGTAAGTAGTATGGACGGGGACTGCAACGTTGTGTGTGTACAATTCTTGTCCTGAGCCAGGGCAATTCCCTGTCACCTCCATCCTCACTCCACTGCCACAGTGGCACATGAGTGCCATGGGAAAACTGCACTACCCTGGCTCTTCTGCTCACTGACTCTGACCTTGGCAAGTCATTTAAGCTTTCTGAGCCTGTGTCTCCACTTGTAAGATGGGAATAGTAATACCTATTGTTTGTTATTTAAGACAGCTGTTATGTTTGAATTGTGTCCTCCAAAAAGATATATTGAATTCCTAACCCATACTACCTCAGAATGTGACCTTATTTGGAAATAGGGTCATTGCAGATGTAATAGCTAAGACGAGGTCATACTGGAGTAGGGTGGGCCCTCAATCCAATATGTCTGGTATCCTTATAAGAAGGAAAACGGCCATTGGAAGACACAAACACACAAGGAGACCACCATGTGGCTATGGAGGCAGAGACTGGAGAGATGCAGCTGTAAGCCAAAGACCGTCAAAGACTGACAGCCACTACCAGCAGCTAGGAAGAGGCAAGGAAAGATTTTCCTCTACATGTCTCAGAGAGAGCATGGCCATACCTTGATTTTGGACTTCCAGCCCGCAGAACCGTAAGACAATAAATTTCTATTGTTTTAAGCCACCCAGTTTGTGGTACTTTGTGATAGCAACCCTAGGAAACTAACACAGTTGTGGAGGTATAATTTATTTATTGTGTGTGTGTGTCTGTTTTAATTGCAGATGAAACACACTTAGAATAAACCAGGTAGACAGAAAACGAAAACAAGGTAACTTTTCTTATGTATCTAAACCAGGAAATGACATTATTTCCTCTGGAGCTGACACTGGCCTCTCTAAACTCACCTCCCACTACACTCCTCCCCACTGGCTCCCCTCCACCTCACTGGCCTCCTGGCTGTGCCCGGAACGCCCACCATGTTCTCTCCTTAGGGCCGTTGCACCAGCTGCTCCCTCCGCCTGGAACACACCAGGGTTAACCCCTGACTTCCTGTCTTTCCTCCATGAGGCCGACCCTGGCCCCTCCATTTAACGCTGCAATTTGTACTCCTGCCCACCCAGCACTCCCAATTTCCCTTACTCGGCTCTACTTTTTCTTTTTTCCATATTCTTATTGGCTTCCAGTATCCTAGTAACTTATTTATTTCTCTATTATGTGCATTATTTATTATCTGTCTCCCTCCATGCTAGAACACAAGCTCCATGAGGACAGGGATCATTACCAGTTTTGTTCACTGAGGTGAACAAGCATCTAGAACAGCACCTAGTTCATAATAGGTGCTCAACAAAGATTTTTTTAATCCATTATTTATTAAAATAATTAATTAAATTTATTTTTAATTAATAATTACAGAAGCTATACATGTACATTGTAAAACAACAGAAAAAATTTAAAACTTCAAATTTCCACCATCCAATAATATCTCCCAAATTACGATAAACCAGAATGGTTTTTATCTTCTTTTAAATGACTCCGTAAGGAATCCTGTCTCTTGAGGAAAAATATCATGGTAGGGATAACACCCACCTTACAAGCCTTGGTATGTGGATTAAACAAAATAATATATCCAAATACTTAACACAATGCTTGCCATAACAACAAATATAGGTAATTGTTAATTTCTTTTTTTTGATCTTGTCTTTAACTTCCATCCTTTCCCCCAACTTCCAAAAAGTAGGTAAAACATATCTGCAGCCAAACGAATGGTATGATATTGTTCCTACAGGGGCAGGTGGGGAATGCCTTCCACTTCTACACTCAAGACAAAGTCCCCAAATTCACAGTGCCAGTCTCTATTCACAGTACCTGTCGCTACCAGAGACAGACGGTGACTGACTATTCCATGGAATTTTATAATAGCAACAAAACAATAAACAATGATAATTACATTTTATATTACACTCTCCCATTTGCAAAGCATTTTCATATGAAATTTTCTTTTATAGATGAAAGAACTGGGGCTCAGAGGAGTTAAGTGACTTGTCCAAGTTTACTCAGCTGGTAAGTAGAAGAGCTGGGAATTAAATCTAAAATTAGATCATCAATGATACGATCTTTAACTTGATATTTAGTGAAATACACCATCCATTTCTAGAGTCCCACTCACAATAAATGAAATACTTCTTAGTATTTTCTCCATAAGCTACTTCCTTCCCCATTCTCTAAACAAATGACTCACCTATCTTGATAGCCACACGTCCCTTCCGTGTCAGATAGGTCTCCACCAAAATTTTCTTCTTGTAAAAAGGAGAGTTCACCTTCACTCGTAAGTGTGTCAGGAAACAGGGTACATTGTCAAGACAGCCTGGGAATCACTGCTTTTGTGAACTGTTGAGAGAAAACAAAACATCAAGAGCTTTATATCTTCAATCCTCTCCAGGGACGCCTTCAAAATGAATCTCTTTTCCATTCCTTGGCAGAAGTCAGTACAAAAGAGTTTTTTTGCTGAGGTTTCCAATTAGGTTTAGTAATATTAAATTTGAATTCCTTAGCCTAAATTTATTCTAGGGCCTTAAAAGCATTTATTATAAACTGTCTCCACTTTTGAAGGGACTGAAAGAATCATATCCATAAATATTGAGGCTCCCATCCTTCTTACTGACAGAATTCTCATATTTATTCTTCACAGTAGTTTAGCTAAAATTCAAGGAGCCAGAAGACACAAATTCAACCTTGCAGAGAAGCAAAGGCAGTAATCATTAGATTGTTTCCACCCCTAGAGGTAGTGAAGGCACCTTTTTATTCAAATATTAATCACAGAGTTAACTAGGTTAACGGGCTCCCTGTGGGTAGGGCAAGCACAATTCCTTCTAAACATGTTGGAATGAAAACCATCATATAACGACTGTAGACTTTAACTGGAATGGAGGTGGGAATGTCCAGGAAACAACCCCAGATTGAAATATGCCCTTTGTAAAGCCCAGGAAAAGAAGACAACTTTCTGGAACAATGATACAGGAAGAAATCACTTCAAATCTCATCCCGACAATGCTGTCTGGCCTTGTGAGGAGTTCACTGTGTGGGCTTAGAGAAGGATTCCCTGTTCTCGCTGGAAGGGACCAGCTTGTATCAAACCAACTTCCCATTAAACACAACTAGAAAAGCTGATAAAATTATTTTTAAAACCTGTTTGAAGGCACTGGAGTGCTACCAAGGCAGCCAGGCCATAAGAGGCCAAGATCTTAGGGAGAAGGGAAATAAAATTGAGGCAAGTCTTTGTACCACTTTTCCTCTCAAGGCATCTCCTGATTGTTAAGAGGCTCAGGGCACACCCACTGAGAAGCCAAGCAGAAAAGAGCTGCTTAGAGGCACATAAAGTGAGCAGACTTTCTGGCAGACTCACAAGCCTGAGGAGATCCCAAAGAGAAGAGAAGTGCAGAGAAGCCAGCTTGACATTTTGCCTCTCTAAGCATTTGCTAATTGATAAACGATGTAAACCAAGCAGAAAACAGCAGCTCAGAGGCTCAGGAGTTAAACAGAGCTTTTGACAGTTTCACGATGCTCAAAGAATAAAAAGTAGAGTTCAGAGCCCACTAAAAAAAGAAGGACCCCAGGTAAATATCCCATGCTTTCCGTTTCCTCCTGAAGGCTACATCCTAGGATGAAAGCCTAAAAAAATACCAGCACCCCAGCCTCAAATCATCAGATTAAGGAGGTCTGCCCTACTCTAACTGCCTATCAGAAGCAAAAGTAAGCCCTCCGGAGAAAGACACCATCATTCACAGTATCTACGATTTTTTTTACACATAATGTCCTGCATTCAGTCAACAATTACTTAGGCATACCAGGACATACGGTCAAGAAAGAAAGAGATAATAAAAACAGACCCAGAAGTGACCCAGATAGTCACAGGATATAGTCTTTAAAATAACTATGATTAATATGTTCAAAATTATAAAGATTGTAACAGACATCTCTCAGTAACACACACAACAAGCAAAAAAAAAATGAGTAAAGATGTAAAAGATTTGAACAACACAATTAACAAACTAAAATTTAGTAATCTATATAGAATACTGCATCCAACAGCAGTGACTACATATTCTTTTCAAGTACACATGTAATACTTATAGAAATTAACCACATATGGGTCATAAAGTAAGCTTTAAAAAATTTCAACAAATGGAAACCATAGAGTACTTTTTTGAACATATTATTTTGAAATAATATAGATTCACAGGAAATTGCAAAAATAGAATCATTTTTTAAATTGAAGTAAAATTTACATTCAATAAAATACACTGCTTTCAAGTATACAATTTGATATGTTTTGGTAAAGGAATCTCTGTAACTGCCAACAAAATAAAAATATAGAACATTTCAAATCATCATTCCAGAAAGTTCCCTCATGTCTCTTTTAGTCAATCCCCACATCCCAAAAGCAGCCACTGTTCTCATTTCAATTACCATAGATTACTTTTGCCTGTTCCTGAGCTTCATATAAATGGGCTCATATGGTATGTATTCTTTTGTATCTGGCTTTATTCACTCAGCATAATGTCTCTGAGATTCATCTACACTGTTGAGTGTATAAATTGTTTACTCCTCTTTATGGCTGAGCAATACTTCATTGTATGAAAATACCACAACTTTTTAATATATTCTCTGGTGGATGGACATTAGTTGTTTCCATCTTAGGGCTATTACGACTAAAGCTGTTATAAATATTCTTGTACAAGTCTTTTTGTGAACACATATTTTAATTTCTCTTGGGTAAATACCTAGGAGTGGAACTGCTAGGTTACAGGGTTGATGAATGTTTATAAGAAACTGCCAAACATTTTCCCAAAATGGCTGTATCATTTTATACTTCCATCAGTAATACATGAAGGTTCCAGTTTACACAGCCTCATCAACATTTGGTGTTGGCAGACTTTTAGTTTGAGCCATTCCAGTGTGAGGTTTTGATTGGCATTTCCCTAGTGACTAATGACAATAGCTTTATGTATGTCTTCTTTTGTGTAGTGTCTGTTCAAGTTTTTTGTCCATTTTTTAAATTGTGGGGGTTTTATTACCGATTTATAGGAGTTCTTTATACATTCTGATACCAGCCCTTTGTCAGATATATGTATTACATATATTTTCTCTCAGTCTGTGGTTCGCCTTTTCAATTTCTAAGTCTTCTGATGAGCAGTTTTTAATGTCGATGAACTCCAATTTATCAGTTTTTTCTTTATGTTTAGTGCTTTCGCTATCCAAATCTTTGCCTACTTAAAAGTCTAAAAGATATTCTTCTATTTTTTTCCTAGAAGTTTTATAGTTTTAGCTTTATGATCTATCTGAAATTAATCTTTGTGTGTGGTGTGAAGTAGGGGTAGGAGATTAATTTCCCCCCACTTGTTCCAGCAACATTAGTTGAAAAGACTTTCCTTACCCCATTGAATTGTCATAGCACCTCATCAAAGATTAATTGATGTATGTCACAATATGTTTTCAATTAAGCTAGAAGTCAACATAAAAATGACAACCAGAGAATCCTCAAATGTTTGAAAATTAAGCAGTACACATCTAAATAACATGGGTCAAGAAAGAAATCACAAGGGTAATTAGAAAAAAATTTTGATTTAAGTAATAATGAACTGATGACAAATAAAAAATAGTGAAATGTAGCTAAAGCTATATTAAAAAAGGTTGGCAATCAATCATTTATACAGCCAACTCAAGGAATTAGAAAAAGAACAGAGAAATTCAAAGAAAGAAAGGGGAAGTAAACAGTAACAATACGAGCAGAAATAAATGAAGTAGAAAACAACCATAAGCGAAAAAATCAACAAAGGTAAAAGGCTGGTTCTTCGGAAAAGAATAATAACACTGATACACCCTTCAGCAGGCCCTCAAAAAGAGAATCAAAGCTTCTCATCTCAGCTCCATTACTTAAGACTCTTCTCCCCACAGCACTGATTTCAGTCTCCTCAGCTCCCCTACCGTTGTTGCCACAGACAAGCACAGGGTCTCTTTTGCTTGTAAGAGCTTTGCTTTTACTCTTTACAGAGAAACAAATAGAAAACAACAGAAATTAACACAGGGATGTTGCACAGTTTCCAGGATCTCAAATATGAGCTCTTTGTCAGCAACACTATGAGGTTAAACAATGATGACCTAATACTTGACACGTCATCAGCCTCCAAGATGTGAAACTGTCAATAAGGCTAATTGAAATACTAATGTACATCCACTATTATCAGGAGAAAACTTCATTCTAAGTGCATATTGTGCCTTAAAAGGGCAAACAACACTATAAAGCCAATTTGATTAGCTAGACATTTAAAATTAAGTCTCTAGAATGTGAATACAAATCTCTCTATATTTTTCACTGATTAAGTCTCTGTGACACTCAATACAATTTTTGAAAATAAGTATTTTCAAGCAAAAGACAAAAAACCACACACTATGTGTGAAATATTTGTTCTGCCACCGTAAAAAATGATTTAAATAATACACAAAAATCAACTACTTGTATTAATAATTTACTGATAATTAAATAATGCACAGATAAAAATCTAGCAATCAAATTCATTCTTTAGTCAATAGTTAAAGAAAATGTTGGTAGATTTTTGAGGAAATAAATATTAAAAAATTACTCAACAGGCAAAATTTATCATACTATTGGGTGCAAGTACAGATGTTTCTGTCTCACTAATGAAATACACAAAGAATTGCTTTTTCATGAGCCACTAAACAAAAAACTATAGCAGAGGAAATATAAGTTCTAATAATAAATTACTTCTTTAATAAAAACAATGTTTTATGGAGAACTCATACACATTGATCGGGTGGAGTGAAGAAAGGAGTCCAGGCAAAGAAAATACCAGCATGAAACGCATTCATTGCATCATTCATAGGCAAGCTATTATAGAAAAGAAGTTGAATCCAGAAGAGCACCAAGTGCTACAGAATGTCATTGGCACGGTCAATTTAGTTGAATCATTACAAAACCTTGTTGGGGCCAGCCCCGTGGTCTAGTGGTTAAGTTCCGAACGCCCCACTTTGGCGGCCCGGGGTTCAGTTCCCAGGCGTGGACCTACATCACTCATCAGTGGCCATGCTGTGGAAGCGACCCACATACAAAATAGAGGAGGATTGGCACAGATGTTAGCTCAGGGTGAATCTTCCTCAGCAAAAAAAACCCTTGTAATAAGATGGAGAGTGATCATGAAAATCTTTTATACTACATAGTGGTTCCTTGGTTATTTCACACCACTGCAGCAAGAAGAGTTGTCAAATATTAAGTTGCCTCACATTTTTTCTTTTGTCTATCACAAAGAGACAAGTGTTCTAAAATATCCTGACTGCTTCAGTGATGGCAACTGATTGTCAGCTGTATG